ACCGCTCTCCATGTTCTTCAGGTCGCGAGACCCTGGATTCCTTCGGCAGAAAGGCCACTGCCGCAACCGACGCGCGCATCCCGACCGCCAGGGACCCGAACGAGAGCCACGAGCTCAATGAAGCAGCCGTGATTGATGAAAAAAACATATCGTTACCGCCCTCCGTGTTTTTCTGGCCGAAAGACTCTGGATTCCTTCGACAAAAAAGCAACTGCCGCAGCCGACGCGCGCGTCTCGACCGCCAGAGGCCACCTGCAAACCAAACCAGCAACGCACGCACACACCAAACACAACAACAAAGTAATCACAAGCCGCAACAACATAAAACTGCGAGGCTCCTGCATCTCGCCATCCAGACCACTACGCTGCACGGCTCCACCACGGTCGGGTTCTTTTCGGTGGCCGGCACCAAGATGTCCTACTGCCACATTGGGGACGTATCCATCCAGGTGTGGCGCAGGTCGGCCCTCACGGGAAGCTACACGCGCTGCTTCATCACCAGAGACCACCACGTCCGCATCGCCACGGAGTCAGGCGAGGTGATGGGCCCGAAGCAGGTTTCGTTTTTCCCTGGCGTGAACAGGGCGGGCGACGACTTGGAGCGCTCCGTGGCGCAGGCCGACTACGGCGTTGTCCAATTGAGCAAGGGCGACATCAGTATATGCTGTTCCGACGGCATCACTGACAACGTCCCGTACGATGCCATGAAGTTCGTGCTCACGCGCGCAGATTCCGACGCGCAGGCCGCGGCCGAGCAGATGATCGAGTGTGCGCAGATGCGCGGCGCGCCCAAGCCCGACGACATCTCGATCGTAATCGGCGTCGTCGGGGCTGTGTGAGAGAGCGAAGGCCATGAAGAATGCCTTCCGCACCCTCCTCGTCGTCCACCTCCTCCACCGCCCTCACCTCCACCTCGCCCTCGTCATCGTCATCGTCGTCGTCGTCGTCGTCGTCGTCCTCCTCCTCCTCCTCCTCCTCCTCGCCCTCCTCGCCCCCCTCCGCTTCCTCGCCAGCATCCGATCGGCCCAGTGGGCGCACTGGCACGCCAACGAGGTGCATCTCGACCGCCAGAGACCCGAACGAGAGCCACGAGCTCCATAAATCAGCCGTGATTGATGAAAAAACACATCGTTGTCGTTATTCTTACCGCCGTCCCCGCGGGACCTGGATTTCCTTCGGCAAAAGGGCCACTGCCGCAACCGACGCGTGCATCCCGACCGCCAGAGACCCGAACGAGAGCCGCGAGCTCAATAAAGCAGCCGTAGTTGATGAAAAAACACATTGTTACCGCTCTCCTTGTTTTCCTGGCCGCGACACCTTGGATTCCTTCGGCAAAAGGGCCACTGCCGCAACCGACGCGTGCATCCCGACCGCCAGAGACCCGAACGAGGGCCGCGAGCTCAATAAAGCAGCCGTAGTTGATGAAAAAACACATTGATACCGCTCTCCTTGTTTTCCTGGCCGCGACACCTTGGATTCCTTCGGCAAAAGGGCCACTGCCGCAACCGACGCGTGCATCCCGACCGCCAGAGACCCGAACGAGAGCCACGAGCTCAACGAAGCAGCCGTCGTTGATGAAAAAACACATTGTTACCGCCCTCCTTGTTTTCCTGGCCGCGACACCTTGGATTCCTTCGGCAAAAGGGCCAGAGCCGCAACCGACGCGTGCGTCCCGACCGCCAGAGACCCGCCAGAGACCCGAATGAGACCCGCGCGATCAATAAAGCAGCCGTGCTTTATGAAAACATACACATCGTTACCGCCCTCCTTGGTTTTGTGGCCGCGACGCCTTGGATTCCTGAAGCAAATCGGCCGCCGATGCAACCGACGCTTTTGTTTCGACAGCCTGAAGTCCAGAAGAGGGCCGCCGGCGAGTCCGAGCAGCCGTAGCTGATGAGAAAACATATCGTTGCCATTCCCCCCGCCCCCGTCGCCGCCAGACCTTGGATTCCTTGGACAAATGCCACAGGCACGAAAAAGACCAATCAGAAACATGTAGTAGCAGCTGTACGTGCTGCGGGATCCTGGGTTCCGACAGACGTGCCATTTTGGCTCAAGGCGTCCGCCGCTCCTGCGGGCAACAGGCGCGCTGACGTTGACACCCTCCCCTGCAAGGCTTCCAAGCGATGGCCGCCCGCGGCGTTGTCGCCGAGGCAGCCAACGTGCCCGCCCAAGGCATGAAGTCGCTCGGCGTCCACATGTGCGTCGAGGGCATGACGAGCGACGTGCTCGTTGCTGCGTGGGATAGGGCGAAGAACTTGAAAAAGGCCACCCCCCTTGGCAAGCCGAAGATCGACGGCAGTCTCGACCGCAAGGGCTCGGTGGACGTTTACGACCTGCCCGTCAAGCCATGGAGCGCTCGCGGCAACGCCTCCATAAAGTCCGTTGTCGACATCGTCACTGACGTCGACGCCGCCGAGATGGCCGCTGTGGACTGGGCCAAGGTCAAAGACATTATGGCAGAAGGCAAGTACAAGGAATTGCCGCCGCCGTTCTGCTTCAGCGACCCGGAGGCAGAGCCCCCTTGCACGATGAATCTTGCCGTCACACAGAGAGTCGCAGACGGACTCCCAATCGTCGTGAAGTGGATTCAGTTCATTGGCGGGGAGAAGAGCCCCTTCGTGAGGGACAGCATTATCCGCGGCAACATGCGCGTTTTGGACTGGCGCAAGGACGTGTTCAACTCTGCCCGCACGATGCAGATCCTGTTCGAACGCCTCGGTGGTGTCCAAGCGCGATACTGGGAGTTCGTGAGCGCGCCCGCGCCCAGAGCTGGCGGCGGCGACGTTGACGTCGATCAGAAGAAGAAGGAGCTCTCGGCGGGCGTCCAGCACATTAAGGACGAAGCCCCACGCACAAATGCTGACTGCGAACAGCTGGAGTGGGTAGAGTGCGAGCTGGTGGACCCTTCGTCGCCAATTCACAACCTCAGGCGGGAGCTCATCAACGCGGTCCTCAAGGTGCTGCGGGACCGCGACCATTTCGCCAACAAGCTGGTATACTACCCCATCCTGCTCCCAGATGTCCGCGATGAGTACCAGGGCGCCATGCGGCGCGCCATGGAGATGCTGGACACCAACACCGTCCTGTGCGTGGGCGAGGCGGGCTTCGGCAAAACGCCGTTCATGATGTCGATGGCCATGGCCAGCGCCAGGCACAACGCCGACGCGGAGAACAGGGCGACTGGCCGCGCCGACGCGGTGGCCGCCGTGCGGACAGCGCCCGACATGGATTTTTTCCGCGGTGAAGTCGGGCAGCGCTGGGTCCCTTGCATCTTCGACGACGGTGACCTGGCGGAGCAGAGGCCCAAGGTGTTGAAAGCATTCTTCGACGCCACTCAGGCGGAGGCCATGACGTACGTCAGGTGGGGGGCGGCGAAATTCGTCCGCGGGCAGGCCCGCTTCGGCGGGGAGAACGAATACGACGCCAGCGCAGCGCCGACAGCTTCGCAGTGGGCGCTGGCATCCACAGGCGCCGACGCCGCCCAGAAGACGACCGCCATCCTGACCGTCATGCTCAAGCCAACGTTCCCGAAGAACTTCTCGCCGAGCAATGTCGGCGCTATGCTGAAACGCTGCACCGTGTTCTTGAACACTCCGACTGACATGTTCTTCAGGCTCGCTGGCACCGAGAGCCGCGTGGAAAAGCTCCCGTTGATGGATGGGTACCTCAAGCCCGAGGCGGGCAAGATGCTGCGCTCCCACTTGGCCCGCGGGGTCATGCGCGACGAGGAGGAGTTCGACAGGGTCATGGCTTACGAGAAGAAGATGGTCATGGAGATCATGGCAAAGCGCGGCGTCGAGTACGGCGTCCCCGCGGAGGCTGCAGGCCCAGTGGGGGAGCCGGCCGCGGGCGCTGCCGCGCCGCCGCCGCCGAGCTCGGCTGGGCGGATCTTTCTGGGCGACCAGGAGGGTCATGCGATTGAACGTGCAAGCCGCCCCCCCCCCCATTGCGCCCCCCCCCTGGCGCCATTCCCCCATGCTACTTTTTCGCTCCAAGGGATTCGGGGTGGTGGCGGCTTGCGCGTCCATCCGCCTGGCTCGAGGAAGAGGAGGACCCGTTCGGCTTGGGCGGCTCCATGATCGGCGAGCAGGCGGAGGCGCCCGCGGCCGCCCCTGTCGTGCCGACGGCGCCGATTAAGCGGGAGCCTTCCAATGTCTTCAGCCGCAACTTGCGCCAGAACGGGCCCGTCGAGATCGACCTCTGCAGCCCCTCCCCGTTGAAGAAGAAGGTGAAGTTCGAGTCGGGCACCGTCCCGCTGCAGAAGGTGAAGCTTGAGCCAGGCTCCAGCGACGCGGTGGGGCAGGACGAGTTCGGGCAGAAGCCGCCGAAGCCGCGCAAGCTCTCCCTTGTCTTGGGGGAGATCATGGCTCATGAGCTGAACGGCGCGGCGGGGCTCTCGCCAGACTCTGACGTCGCGACGGAGCAGGGCGCCGTGTCACTCACCCAGGCTCTGGAGGAGGTCGTGGATCAGGAGCTGAGCCGCGCGGCGGGCCGCGGCGGCCCGTCGAGCAGCAGCGGCGGCGGCCGCGCGGGCTGAGGCCTAGCGGCGTTCGCTGGGCGCGTTGCCCGCCGCGGCAGGGCGGCGCGGGGGGCGGGGCGGGGTCTCGGGCGCGTAGATGGGACGTGGGCGGGAAGAGTTGCAGTGTAATTTCATCGCCAATGCGACGCATTGGGGCGGGGCTGACAGCCATGCTATTGCAGGGAGAGAAGACGCGCGCAGAAACCTATCATCTTGACATCCAGGCCAGCTGTCGCAAACCTTGGGATGAATGCGCGCAGCACGTGATGCCATCAGGGCGGTTGTCTCTCACTCTCCCTCTCGTGGCCAGATTGGCTCGACGTCTGCGATCGCGCGCCCTCGGCTCCACCCTGAGCACTTCGCATACTTGACGACCAATTGGTCGAGCGAGATGGCCGCCAACGGCGATGCCCGACGTGAGTGCCAGCGCCTCCAGGTTCAGTTTGAGGCGGGCGTCGACTCGCTCGCGTACCATCGCGAGTGGTGTTCGCTGAAGTACCAGGCCTTCCAGGAGTTGCTTCCCCTGTGGCAGGCGCGTTCTCTGCTGCATGACGATGTCCGTGCGCGCGTCGCCTCTTTCCTGGTCCCCACTGAGCCGTCGTGGACGTGGATTCCACGGGCGGCGCTGGTCCGCGCGGACAACGACCCTGTGCTGCCGTACGTCTGCTGCTTAGCGAGCATGGCCCGCGGGTCTCGAACCGACCGATCGGCGGCCGCTGCTCTGGGCTCGGGGTGCATATACATACAGAGAGAGAGAGAGAGGAACAAAAAAAGCGCCAGAGAGAGAGAGAGAGAGAGAGAGATAGAGAGAGAGAGAGAGAGAGAGAGAGAGAGAGAGAGAGAGAGAGAGAGAGAGAGAGGCGGGGAAGGTAGCGAGGGATGGGGCGCGATCGATAGCGAGCCGACGCACCCCTAAGGAACTCCTCCACTGGATGCGCCCCGCCGCGTTGGCGGTCGGCTTCCCCGCCGACGCCGTGCCCGCCTCGCAGGAGGGCGCGCGGCTGCGGGTCAAGTGGCGCTTGATGGAGATGCAGATGTATTGCATCTACGACGAGCTGGAGGATCCGCCCTCGGAAGGCGCTGCCTGATCGGTTGCCGATCAATCAATTGTTCGATCGGGGTGGTCGGGGCATTGCCTGATCGCCCGCGCCCGCGGGGGGATGGAGGGGAGAGCACCTCTCGGGCGTATGAGTGGACATAGACAGTGGGGGATCCATCGGCCGCGGTCGATCGAGGCGCCCGTCTGGGCCTCGGTCGTTCCCAAGGACGTCAGGGCGAAGATGGCGACGCTCGACAAGACCATCGAAGGGCTGAGCCGCATGCGGCCGCGGGCGACGTGGGCGTGAGCCAGGCGCCATTGCCCGCCGCGGAGGCGGCGCGAGTTGGGCGGAGGGAGAGGGGGGGGGGGGGCGGGGGCATGGGCGTGTAGATGGGGAGGGGGCGCGGAGATTGACATTTCAGTTTCATGGCCAATGCGACGCATTGGGGCGGGGCTGGCAGCCAGCAGTCACGGCATCCCACGCCGATCACGTGCGGCGTGCTGAAACGCCTCGCCCAATCGTCATCTCCGCCTTCTTCGCTTCCGCCGTCGCCATTGCCATCGTCGTCGTCGCCCTCTCGTCACCCGCTGCTGATGCCAGGGTCATCGCCGTTTGGGGCCAGGGCGTCTGGGAGGGGCCCCGGACGCGCGTCTTCGGTATCGGGGCACATCGCCGACTTGTCGGTGATGCATCGCCGACCCCGTGTCGTCTCTTCCGCGAATTCAGGAGGCAGTTTTGCAGGTCGAGCAACCAGCGTTCGTTGGTGCATTGTTGTCCATTCGCCAGGGCGCACGAGCTATGCCAAACCTGCGCGCCGCACATGCATGCTCAAGCGCATCGGCGCGCCAGGGGATCAGGCGCGCCTGCCCGTTCCTGGCCAGGGTCGTCGGCCAGAGCCGCGCCATGGCGCCTGGGCGCGTCTTCCCTGCGCCTAAGCGGGGCAAGGCGCGCGCTGTCCTCAAGACGGGGAAGCCCAAGCGGAAGGCCCCGAAGCACGCGGGAAAGACAACGGCGAAAAAGACGGCGCCAAACCAGAGTGCGAGGAAGGTGCCTTACGTGCGGCACGGCAAGAGAACTTGCACGTCCAGGCCGGAGCGCGTTGCTTTCAAGAGGAACGTGTTCGATTCATACGCGCAAGTGACCGCGAGATCGTCGACATGTTGCTCGAGGACCAGGTCTTGGAGAATTTGGAAGGCCAGACGTGCTCTTTCTGCACGAAAGGAACCCTCGGCCCCCTGAAGGACGTCCAGGGCCGTGGACCGCGGTACCGCTGCAACCACAAGGGTTGCCAGAAGTTCTCCTTGCCCCAGAGCGGGCACATGGTCTTCAGCAGCGGCTCTGGCGTTGCCGCGGTGCCCTTGCAGGAACAGTCTGCCGTGCTTTTCGCCGTCGTGAACAACGTCCCCCTTGCCAAGATCCATGCGCTCACGGGCAAGAACCACAAGGCGATCGAGAGCATGAGCAAGTTCAATGATGCGTGCCGAAAGAGCGACGTGCAGCAGCAGGAGAAACTGATTTCTTTCGGAGGAAAGGGGCGGACGCGGAAAGATGTCGAGGCCGATGAGGTCGACCTCAGGGGCGATCTACTGCCTGATCACGCGGAGCGAGCTGAGAACGAGCGGGTCCAGTGGGAGCAGTGGGGCGGTGTCATCGAAAGAGGCAATCGCAAGACATTGGTGTTGACGCGCCTCAAGCCAAGCCTCACCAAGCAGAGGGCGCCAGGCCCAGGCGCGATACGCTTGCCTGATTGGACGCCGTTCGCTCACAAGAACTTGAGCAACAGGAACGTTGTGCTCCACACGGACGGGGCAAAAACGTACAAGGTCAAGGTCGAGGGGATGCTCCACGACCACGTCGTGCACCAGAGGAAGCGGCTCGTGAAGAATGGCAAGCCCGTGAAGAAGAACGGCCGCCAGGTGTGGGTGAAACCCACGTACGCCAAGAAGTTTCAGCATAAACTTCCTGGTGGACGAGTCCTCAAGTGCAAAGGCGGGACCCAGATCATCGACAGGTTCTGGCAGCACTTGCGCGGCTTCATCAAGACCAGGAAGAGCTCCGTTGGCTCGGTGTCATTGAACGCCAGGGTCCGATCGGCCCAGTGGGCGTACTGGCATGCCAACGAGGACCTGTGGCTGGAGACTGGCAAGATGTTCAGCCGCTTGAGGGGGAAGTAGCTTGTAGACCGCAGGCTTAGGGGAGCGCGGCAGGGCGCTTATGAGTAGGCGAGGCCGTGCACGCAACCAGAAGCGCATTGCGCAGCAGAGAAATCAGATGTTCAGCCGCTTGAGGGGGAAGTAGCTCGTAGACCGCAGGCTTAGGGGAGCGCGGCAGGGCGCTTATGAGTAGGCGAGGCCGTGCACGCAACCAGAAGCGCATTGCGCAGCAGAGAAATCTTGAAGCTCACGAAACCTGGCCAGGCGTTTCTCCTGTCTCGGAGCTAAGGAAACTTTGCCAAGCGTGGTGTTTGGTTTCTCTCTAGTCTGGTGGCTCGCGATACCTGGAAAGTCGCTGGTTTTGATTGGTTTGCTGGTCTGGGAGGCATGAGAACCTGTGATTTCATTGGTTTTTCTGGTTTTTCTGGTCTGGGAAGCAGGAAAACCTGTGATTTCATTGGTTTTTCTGGTTTTTCTGGTCTGGGAAGCAGGAAAACCTGTGATTTCATTGGTTTTTCGGTCACAGGTTTTCCTTCCCCCCAGACCAAAAAAACCAGAAAAACCAATGAAATCACAGGTTTTCCTGCTTCCCAGACCAGAAAAACCAGAAAAACCAATGAAATCACAGGTTTTCCTGCTTCCCAGACCAGAAAAACCAGAAAAACCAATGAAATCACAGGTTTTCTTTGCCCCCAGACCAGAAAAATCAGAAAAACCAATGAAATCAGAGGTTTTCCTGTTTCCCAAACCAGAAAAACCAGAAAAACCAATGAAATCAGAGGTTTTCCTTGCCCCCAGACCAGAACCTCTGTCCGAGTTCTCTGCGAGGTTGTAACGGTAGTTCTCTCGCATTTGAGCGGCTTTGCGCCAGCGAGGAAGGGGCGAGGAAGATACGAGGAGAGACAGACAACTCGAACGTTCATTTGAAAACCCACCAAAAGGTAGATCTTGGGGGGGGTGCGACCATATATATATATATATATGTACATATATGTATGTATATATACATACATACATACATACATACATACATACGTACGTGCATGCATGCATGCATGCATACATGCCTACACACCTACATACCTACATACCTACACACATACAGACCTAAACACCTACATGCATACACACATGCATGCATCCATGCGTGGAGACATACAAACGTGCTGATATACCTACCTACCTACATACATATATGCATGCATACATACATGCATAAAACTTATGTATGGATACACACATATGCATCCCGACAGACATGCATGTATACACACAGACATGCATACATGCATGCATGCATACACACATACATACGTGCATACATACATTGTATACATACATACATACATACACATGTGTCTACATATGCACATGCATACGTACAGGCATGCAGGCATACATAAATCCACTCATGCATTCATACATACCTCCTTACGCACACACAAAAGAATATACATACAGACGGGAACACAGACATACATGACATGCATACATACATACACACACATACATACATACGGACGTGCATACATGCATACATACGTAAAAACACACAGTCGTATATTCATATGTGCATACATACGTTCATTCATACATACAAACGTACATACATACATGCACACATACATACATGCATACATGCATGAATGCATACAGACATACACACGGACATGCATGCATGCATTGCATACATACATGTATGCATATGTGCATACATACGTGCATACATACATACATGCATATATACATACAGTCATTCATGCACTCATGCATACTTGCATACAGACATAAAGAAGAACATGCATACATACATACATACATACACATGCATACAGACATACCTTATATACATACATACATACATATATATATGTATATATACAGACAGACAGACAGACAGACAGACACGCATACGTACATGCATGCATACAGGCATACAGACATGCATACACACATACATACGTATAAACACACAGTCACATATCCATAGAATCACGATTACGTCCATTCATACATACAAACATACATACATGCATATATGAAGATATACATAAACATAGAAAATATATATATATACACATTTACATATCTATATATATATACGTCTACACGAACATCTACATATACATATATATATGTGTACGTGTGCATGCGTATGCATTTTCTCGTCCGCTCTCTCTTTCTCTCTCTCTCTCTCTCTCTCTCTCTTTACATATGTATTATCTCTCTCCCCCTCTCCCTTTCTCTCTCTATCTCTACCTGCGAGTGAAGAGGAAGCGTGCGACTCCTAGCATTCGCTTCGTAACCCTGGCTCGATGCACTTGGGACTCCTTCGTGGAGACACGATCGCGACGTCAATCCACCCACCATTGTCAAAGCCCCCCCGCGATTGGATCGATGAGCCATGGCGCTCGCAATGTGCCAGGCCATCGTGCGAACCAGCTGCGGGTGCGCGCGGGCCGCCTCGGCAACTGCGGCACTGGCGCCTGCACACCTCCGGACGCCACGCTCGGCGGCGGGGCCGCTCCTGCCTGGAGGCCCGCCGCACTTCCGGCGGCAGGGCCAGGCACGGGGGCCCTGGCGCCCGCGAGCGGCCGCGAGCCCCCGCTCGTGATGTGCGACGCCGAGCCCAGGAACGGGTTCGGGGGGCCGCTCGCGGACGGCGGGGGCCGGGTCACGACCTCCGAGCTGGCCCGGTGGAGGCAGCCCGCCGTGGGCCTCATGCGGCCCCCTCGCACCCGGCCCGGGGGCGGCGTGCCCGGGGGCGCGGGGGGCGCAGCAAAGCTGGCAGGCGAGCGGCAGCGCGAGCGGCAGCGCGAGCGGCAGCGCGAGCGGCAGCGCGAGCGGCAGCGCGAGCGGCAGCGCGACCGGCAGCGCGAGCGGCAGCGCGAGCGGCAGCGCGAGCGGCAGCGCGAGCGGCAGCGGCGCAGGGGGGGGGGAGCAGCAGCAGCAGAGAACGGCGAGGGGCGAGGAAGCAGGGCGGAGAGAAGGAAGAAGAGATAAAAGGAGGGAAGGGGGGAAGAACGAAGAAGGAAAAGCAGGGGGTAGGAGGGATGAAAGGGAGGGGCGATGAGCGAAAGGACGCAGCGAGGAAGGGAAAGCGAGGATCAAAGGAGGAGGAAAGAGGGAGGCGGAATGAAGGAGGCGCGGGAAGAAGGGCCCTGATGACAAACACGTGATGTAAGGATGCAAGGTGCAATAATGAATGAGCGGGGAACTGGTCAAAAGATGGCATGTACCCATAAAATCATTGGCCCATGTGTTTATCTGTGTGTAAATATATAAATACATAAATGCGGGACACGAAAATTCACACAGGTGCATATTCTTGTGAAATGATATGTGCGTGCAAACGAATATGTACAAGCGGCACGTGGGCACCCAAGCTCATACAAAAAATGTAACGTGTGAGCAAGATAAGTGAAGAGATTGCAATTCCCATGGGCACCTTTGCGGAGCAGTCTAGAATGACGCCGCCAGCTAGTAAGAATGAGGTTCAGTAGCGGAGGTCGAGCGCAGGTGTGGTCACCACACCTGTGGTGAGTTCGGTGCATGCTGTGGGACAGCAGCTGGCAAGCGCAGCCAGCCGACTTTTTGTGGTATCTGTAACCTTCTTGCGGACCTGCGCCTGCGAACGAACCTCAGAAGCGTTGCCCAGAACTTTGCGAGGACAGGACAGGCCTAGGAGCTGCGCACAGGTGTCGGGAGCGATGCCTGGACCCGCTGCAACGCTATCTGCGGCCGTTTTGGAAACAGCTAGGAAAGCTATAGCGGCACACGCTGCCGGCTCAAGCAACCGCTCCAGCGCTCTCTGACTGGAAGCCGCGGGAACGCATCTGGCTAGCCAGCAATGCAATCCGTGCCAGCCGGCTTCTTCTCTATAACCGCTCGAGCAGGCAGGGAGCCATCCAGGAAAAACCAGATGGCGGAGCAGCTGTCGAGAAACCGCGCACAGTCAGACGCCCAAAGGACAGGGCGCGCAAACGCGTAGGCGCGCGCACACGGATGCGGCCAGCACGGGAGCGGGCGCGCGGGAGGATCCCGCGCGCGGACGCGCGGGCCTCGCAGGCCTCGCGCATGCACACGCACAAAACACGTATGAGCATGAGCTGGTGTGGCGGATCGGGAAGCCTGCTACCACTCGCTCGAAGACGCATACGACCTCAGCGATGCAAGCAAGCGGCGCTCCTGCAACGCCTTCAGACGAGTCTCCATGGCCTGTCTGGGGGCTGCTCAGGAGCTGCGCTGAAGTTTAGAAAACGTTGCCTAGTGTTTGCGAAGACTTGCCTGGAAGATAATTTCGAGGTGCGCGCGAGCCGAGAAAACGCTGCATAAGAGCTGGCAGGGAGGACCCTATGAGCTGGCTGGGAGCTCCACACGTGCTTGAAAAATGTTGTTTTCCAGATTGGTTTGCCCTGTAGGAGTACTAAATTGGTCTTTACGACCCTCCCCCCTTTTTTCCAGTGGCCCCCCCCATTTTTCCAATGGCACGCCCCTTTTTCCAATGCCCCCCCCCCCCTTTTCCAACGGCACCCCCACCCCCCCCGTTTCCCAATGCCTTCACCGTCACAATCACCATCGTCAGCGATCATCGTCCCCATTTTCCGCCTCATCATCACCATTTTCCACCCCCACCCCCCCTGATTTTCCCAAGCTTACACATATGGCTCTCCGTACTTGCATGGCTGCTCGTTTCTTTCTGCTCATTCTTTTTGTTTGCCATTCCATGCTTGGTTTCCTCTCCTCCCGTCCTCTCCTCCTCGTCTTCCCCTTCTCTCGCTCTTCTCCTGTCCATCAATCTATTTAGAGTCGACGCTGGCTGATATTTGTGAGCCGAGCATGCGGTTGCGGCCAACGCAGTGGGAACGGCACCGAAAATACAAGCGGAACCAGCTGCCATTTTCGATCGTCGCCGCGGTGTTCCTTGAACGGCAGCCCATAGGAACTGGTGGTAGGCCATCAACCCCAGCAAGCGCAAGGAAGTCTTCAGTTTGTTTTCCCTATAAAGACCAGAGCACTGGACTAGCCAATCGGTCGGCATACTGCTTCAGGACCCAGACACCACCCACGTCGCGTAGGAGCGCAGGCGAAGTTTCAGAAGTGCCGCAATGCAACTCAAGCGAAGTCTTTACAAGGCACGGCAGTGAACGGAAGACAGCCGCATTGACCAAGAGATGTGCCACCTCGCGCACGTCTGCGCCACAGAGGCGGAATCAACGGGAACGCAAACGTCTGAGCGAAGCAACAAGGAGAAACAACAAAAACAACAACAACAACAACAACAACAACAACAACAACAACAACAACAACAACAACAACAACATTAACAACAACAGATATAACAAAAACGACGCGCATACCCACGGCTTGCAATATTGAAAGGAGCTTCCGACTATCATATTCTAATCTCGGCACACTAGTGGCAGGCGCGCGATTCTTGACATTGTGAATCGACTGCACTGCCAGGGAAATCTGACGCCCACCTGGGCTTCGAGATTGTGCCGAAAGGCACAAGCTCGCGACCCAATCGCGTGCTGCACCGAATTGGGCCACGACTGGAAAAATGCTTGCGCTCCGATCTCGGCACCCTGGCGGTTGCAGACAGGCACGCCTTGCCATGGCGAACCGACTCGTGTTCTTTGCAAGCTCATTAACGACCCACGTCATGTTCGCGCGCATAGAACGAGTTGAGAACTCAGTCCGCAACAACCAGACATATAGCAGGCACGCCAGGAAAGCGGGCCGAAAGAGGCCCAGCTATAGTTTTCACAACTTACGCGGGACCTCGTTCACCCCCGCACGCGATCGCGCTGAGCGCGCAAGGGGTACCAACGAGCTCACGCGCCCAAAACTCCCAGGGCACCTGACCGCACCCGAGAGAGAAGCACGCCAGACAGCTTTTCTCAGCGCGCACAGGCGCGCAGGCGCGCACAAGTCGCACTGCGTTCCCGCCGACATCATAGGCCCCTCTGGCCGCCCACGAACACGCAACCTCAGCGCATCTTCAGATTCGCTCGAGACGGAATGGCGCCAGCACTCAGAGCAAGGCTGCCGCGTCTCGACCACGCGAACTCGAACGCACGGTCACGCGCGATACCCGCACGTTCGTCGCACAGGTGCTCTCGGGATCCCGCTACGCAAGACGACCTGCGAACTCCTCTCCGCGGCGCGCAGCCGCCATCGGCCTGCCCCAACATGCAAACACATCATGCTGCCGCCACGCGTTGTCGAACTCACTCGGCGGACCGAGCAAACACCGTCGCCGTCGACCCTCGCGCGCCCCCCTGAAGATGCTCTCGCGAACTCAGGACAGGAGGTCGGGGCCCTGACACAGAAGCCGGCGCGCGCCTGGCGCGCCCGCCAACGAGGCTCGAAATTGCTCGCATTGCAACGCGCGGGCCTGGGCAAGCCCGCTCGACGAGACAGGGCGCCAGCGCGCGCTGCTCGAGCCTCGAGCGAGTCCCCCCCGCGGGCGCCAGGGGCGCCCGCGAAGGCTCGGCGCGGGGCGGCCGGGGGCGATCGAAATCGTCGCGGCGCAGACAGGCGGGGTCGAGGCGCTGGCGGCGCGCACCCTGGGCCACGCTTCACATTGAGCCCTGGAGGCATAGGACCGCGGCGGCCCCTCCCTGAAGACCGACATGCCGGGGGGGGGCGCGGCGACGCAGGTGCTTCACCCCCGCCACGGGAACAAATACAAAAATCGCACCTCAATCAAAAAAATCTGCGGCGGTCACGGGCCGCCCTGGCCCATTGACAGCACTGCTATGCGCGGCAGAAGCTCTACGAGGTCCCGGGCGGCAACTTGGTTGACGGCTTACCGCCGGCACCCAGTTGGCCAAACCAGGGGGGGCGGACAACGCGGCGACATGGGGTCCGTTTGTCGAAGAATGTGAGAGATCCGAAAATTCTTTTTGAAAACAAATATTCTTTTCGCATCTGTAGTAGGTTATGCCGCGTTCGCCGATAAATTCTTAAGGCCCGTAGCTGGTTTCTCCTTGTATTCCGAGCATTGCTACGCGTGCAAGAAGCTCTACGCAGGCCCCGGCGGCACCCTGGTTGACGGTTTACCGCCGGCCCCCAGCAATTCGAGTTTCAGCCCAAACTCGAATATCAAACTCGCGCCTGCCGGAAAAATCGAGTTGTCACCCCCCCGAACTCGAACTTTGAACTCGGATCCGGCTGACAATGTAATAATTGTCCCCCGAAACTCGAACCTTGAATTCTTATCCAGCGGCAAATGTAATAGTTGTTATTATACCCCTCCCTGGGGCCAGCACCCAGCGTGGAGTTCGAGTCCCCAGCCCAAACTCGAACTCCAAACTCTCACTCGGCTACCACTCTCCCTCGTAGAGCTCTGCGTTCGACTTGAGGTGAAAGTTCGTTAGAAAAAGTTTTCCTGCCTGGCGCAGCCCATCCATGTCCCTCTGCTCTGCCTCTGCCTACTCCCGTCTCTTTCTCTCTCCGTGCCATTTGCTCCAGGCGCTGCTCCGCAGGGCCAGACTGTTTTTGGAGGCGGGCGGGCGGGGCCATAGCACGCTGCCCAGCCGGCGAGGCCGAGCAGTCTGAGGAGTGCTGGGTAGTGGGCGGGCCAGGTTCCCCCCTCCAGCGCGGGCGGGGGCTCCGGAGGGGGGGCCCGCGGCCCGCGACGGACGTGCGGACGCCCACGGTGGGAAGGCGGGCGAAATGATGAGGCCCGCCCACGGGCGAGAGTGCACCTTGGCTTTGGCCATGGGGGCTCTAGCGACTTGGCTCGACGTGTCCTTCGGCGTCAATTGGCATGCGACGG